CGATATCTATCACGGAATTGTAGAATTTTGACCGAGCTCCCGAGAATCGAATAAACTGCAACATGAAAACACCGTATGTAGGGGAAGCAGGGTGTTGCTATCAAGAAAGAGCAACTTCATGATCGGAAAGTTGAAATCGTTCTGCTTACCTTTTCTTGTGCGCAAATGGTGTTTACTTATGCATACTTATGGTGTATGTACTGTGGAGAGAAGGGTTCGCTCTTGAGGATATGAATTCGTGGATTCAAACATACCATGAATATTAATATAGAAACAACGAAACAAGGGTTGTTCCTTCTGGCTGTTTTTCTTTTCTGGTTAAAGATAACAAGGAATGGTCTTTTGAAGCAAACATTTTGTTATTTTCACTTTAACAGGAAACGCGAATTTACAGTAATTTATTCCTTATTTAAGAAAACATGTTAAAACTCGGTGTCATTCTTGCTTTTAATTCAAAGTACATGTAACAAGGGCTAACGTACCCATGTTTGTAATTTATTGCTGTTTATTATCATAAATCATTGACGCGCAATTTTTACAATCTCAAACTGACCCTCGCCTGTCATCACCAGTCCATGTTTCTATAGAATCAAAAAGTCAGATTTTGATCCATAATCATATGGGACGCACATGTAGAAGTACAACACGTTCACGACCTTTGACGTCACTGCATGTTGCATTTTTTCTTGAGGATTTGCACTCAATTTCGCTTATCTCCATTATGTGACAGTATCAGTGTTTTCATATGTGCACGATGTCAATGAACGTATTTCTTTCGAGTAAAGTACGGACGATATACATCTATAATTCATTTATATAATTGGAATTCGAAAAACATGGGTTTACTTCATGCCTAAACCACGATGAAGATGACTTTCTAAAAACGTTTCTATGTAGCGATATATCTGATTTAACTGCACAGTATTCAAAACTGACTGGAAAGGAAGGTAACCTTTTTTCTCTTTTATTTCATTTTTTTTTCATGCCAAATAATTCTTGCGAAATCTTTTTCGATATTAACTTATCATTCTACACCCTTAGAGGAAAAAATGTCTCAGACTTTGAAAGAACGTTTTCGGAGCACGTTTCCATTATTGATTAATTCAGGATACTTGTAGTAACATCAGACCTGCATTATAGTGTTGCTTTTGTGAAATCTGGCCGACAGCTGAGGAACAGACAGTTACCCATTATTTGCGTTCTTCGTTTCCATTACAGTTCTACCCATCTTCTGGTCTAAACCGCCCGAGGCCACAACAACAATGGCGCTATGATTAACCTTTCAAAAACGTTTGCGCCAGTTTGAATACAAGTGTCATGTCTTGGAGCGTAGCGGTCAATTACATGTCTGGTCAAGGATACAGATTACAAGGAACGTTAGCTGTGATAGCGTTCTGAGCTTAACCAATCGTTAACCCACTTTTTGCACTAATAATTTAGTTTAAATTTATCTTCAGATTTGTGTTATTATTTAAAGTCTTTAGAGGGTCAATTTGCATACCTAAACATGCACAAGGAATTATGTGTACTTTTCCGCTATATGACCTTTATAAAGAATATAAATATTTTGAAAATTGAAATGAAAGAAAACCAATCAAACCCTATTACATTTTATTGTCAACCGGTTGGAATCTGCCATCGCAGACCAATCAGACAGTGACCTGTATTCAAACATTGACGCAAATCCCGCATGACTTCAAATTAAAGCTTGCTGCCTAACAGAAATTGTTACCTTAAAGAAAACAACATTCTTTCCGCCAAATGGCTATTACGCAAATTGCAAACTTCTGTAAAGTTATCGTGCTGCAATCTCTCGGAAAAGCTTTTAAAATTGAAGTCATCATTTCTTAATATTGATATGAAAAGATTTAAAATTCCAATGACATATATTTATGTCAAGTATTAGCGTGCGAAGCCTTTTCCCGACTGATACTTTTTCACTTGGCGCAGTGTTGATGTAATCTTAACGTTATAACCATGCATAACCGAATTCACGAGATGTCACGAGAGCTGAATCCAACAAATGGCGACTATCTTTTCGACAGTGTCACACAATAAACATCCTTTCATTTTAATTGATAAAGATCTATAACGTCACTTGGTTTGCTAAACGGCTTTATAAGTCACTTACGAAGTATGATGTGGTACATGTGTTACATTATGAACATTATCGAATTATTTACGGCACGTAGGAAAATTAAGTTCAAATCCTTTTTGTTTGTATATCTTTTACACGTTTCACATCAAGAATGTGGTATAAACGGAAGGCTATGCTTAATAACTTTTGCTATGCTAGAAAAATACGAAATGTCAGTTTTAATCTTTTGATAAGAGAAAACAGCGAAGGTTTATAAACCTTTATAAAGGGTCCGGAACCAACCGAAAGATGAAATTGAACTTTCTCTGTCGTTGTTGATATTGATATAAAGAATGCAATACACATCCTTGACATTTATGATGGTATAAAATATATTTGTGAATAAAACATGTTCCCAAAGGTGTTCGGTTATTGCAACTCGGTCTCCAAGCTTAATTATAATCACGTTTTTTTATTGTTTACACAAAAACATACCTGTATTGGATTACAATAGCATTTTTGTTTGCCGTATTCAGTATCTTAGAAATTAAATATTCAGTTCGGAGACATATTGGTTCTGTTTGTAACTATACAGCCCGTAATATAAGACGTAAAACCGGACAGTGCTGTTCTGATTAGTCTCGAAAGCATAGACATGTCTCCTTACAAGAAGATGAAGCCTTTGCCTTCTGAAGGATCACTTCAAGCATTCGAACCTCACTACATATTGGTTCTGTTTGTCCATTTCTATAGACAATCATGTAATGCTATTAAAATATGTGTAACTCTTGCTTTAGCCAATCAACGAATGTCATTCTGATATGCGAGTTCTTTGAATGTACCTTTCTAATCGGTATGACCTCTGCTCTAGCCAATCAATGAATTCCATTCTGATCTATGTGAACCTTGTTCTAGCCGATCAAATAATCCATTCTAAATTGAATGGCCTAGCCAATCAATGACGATTCTTCTGATTTGTATAACCAATGTTCTAACCAATCAATGAATTTCATTCAGATATGAATGAACCTTGCTCGAGCCAATCAATCAAGACCTTTCTTGCTTCCATGAATTTTGCTATATCCAACCGACAAAGCTCGGCCAGTACAGCTTAGCGATTAACTTATCCCGTTGAGATTTAGTAACATTTGACCTGAATATATTTGAATCATGATTTGACTTTCGATGAATAATTATGTATTGATTCCACTATAAGTAAAATTATTTTCTGATCTCTTCCTTAGCTCAGAACCCGGATGTATCTCGCTTTTCATTTGAGAATGATACATCATGGTAAAACTTATTCAGTGATATCTTCACAATAATTAGAACTGAAAATGGAATTTGAAATGTTCTCAAATTTATTTACCTATTGAAAATTTAATGAGGACATTATACAATCCGTTCCTAAAATCAGGTGATTGACGGTGCAGATTAGGTTTTGATATACACACGCTACATGTGCATGAGATTTAGGAGTTCTATCGAATATAATCTATGATAAGAACAGGTGTATAACGGGCCACAAACCTCTCAAACCTACATATTTTATTCATCTACATATCATTAACTTCTCGTAAGGATTCAGGCACATCGATTTCACATTAAAATGTCGAGCTTTTTACGTTTTGCCATAACTGGTATTAAGTTACTTTTAACAACTTTAGTTGCATGTCAAACGGGGACAAAGGCCTGTGCATTGAAGCAATGTCGTGTTCAAAAAAAATACCAAAGTCACAGGTTAGTTGGTCCCCTGTTCACGCGCTTATTACGCATATTACGTCAGACATTCAAATTATGACCTTGACAGCTGGGCTACTGCTGAATTGATGTGTAGAAAATTAACGGCTTGTACTGTCATTGATAGGCAGTGAAGTTATTGTTCCGTGGAAGGCTAACTCGGATACTCTATACGGCTATTAACCGACAGAAGTATTGTATGAATAATCACTCTTTATTTATGGAATGGCAAAGCGATGTTTTTATTATATACGGGCAGCTTTGAAAATTGTTAGAAACGTTTTGAATTTCACATCTCTTTGTTGTTAAAAGTGGAATGTATAATTTCGTAAGTAATTGAAGTGTATCTCTACTGACCTCGACTATAGACTATATATATCTATATCCTTACTACTCAATATACATTATACAATGTAGTACGCTGTAGTTTGGGATCGAGTTCTGTAATCATTAAACCGGTTACCGTGGGGTCATCAATCGCAACATAGACCTCGACGTATCTGTTCCGTTTGTATTCGGTTAGTTCTCTGTGTTGTCATGGTATACACTCATCTGACGTAGGTTTTATTCGACCGTTGGGAAGTTCGGTATCAAGCTCACAAACATCGTATAACTTGGTTTACTCCACGATGGTCCCTGTTTATCAACTTAAACATCACAGGCGATGGTCAAACATGTTTAAACGTTTCTCAACAAGTTTATCAACATTTTCTGTCATTATGATTGTTTAAAATTCTGCACTGTGTAACGTTGTGTTTTGAAGTTTTGTGCCTATTTACTCAGTGTTTCGCCATTACGGAAATACATCCGCAATGTAGTACCAAATAAGTTGCTTCCAGTTTACACGTGACAAGCTGTCCAAAAACTCAGAATTGATTAAGATAGTACCAAAATATTTAAAGTATTATGAACAAATAGAGAAGAGAGTTGTAAACATCTTATTTTTTGCATTTCAATTAACAAACGTATCACCTGAAACGCAGCATGGCTCGTCGTTACACTGTCAATCACTAGATCACTTCACACAAACCTGCTGCAAAAAGGAGTTTACAATTCGTAAAAGTTATTCATCATACTTATCTAGTTTTCCATGGCGAATTTTCATTAAACAGAAAAAATAAAAAATAACGTTGCTTGCTGATTAGAAGAAATAGTACATGTAACTCGAGTAAGACAAACATAATCACTCGTGGTCGAGCTTGTGTATACTATCGAGCTTGTGTATATTGTCGAGCTTGTGTATATTGTCGAGCTTGTGTATTCTGTCGAACTTGTGTATACTGTCGAGCTTGGGTATACCGTCGAGCTTGTGTATATTGTCGAGCTTGTGTATTCTGTCGAACTTGTGTATACTGTCGAGCTTGGGTATACCGTCGAGCTTGTGTATATTGTCGAGCTTGTGTATGGTGTCGAGCTTGTGTATATTGTCGAGCTTGTGTATACTTTCGAGCTTGTGTATATTGTCGAGCTTGTGTATATTATCGAGCTTGTGTATACTGTCGAGCTTGTGTATATTGTGGAGCTTGTGTATATTGTCGAGCTTGTGTATACTATCGAGCTTGTGTATATTGTCGAGCTTGTGTATACTTTCGAGCTTGTGTATATTGTCGAGCTTGTGTATATTATCGAGCTTGTGTATACTGTCGAGCTTGTGTATACCGTCGAGCTTGTGTATATTGTCGAGCTTGTGTATCCTGTCCAGCTTGTGTATACTGTCGAGCTTGTGTATATTGGCGAGCTTGGGTATACTGTCGAGCTTGTGTATATTGTCGAGCTTCTGTATACTGTCGAGCTTGTGTATACTGTCGAGCTTGAGTATATTGTCTAGCTTGTGTATACTGTCGAGCTTGTGTATATTGTCAAGCTTGTGTTTATTGTCGAGCTTGTGTATACTGTCGAGCTTGTGGATATTGTCGAGCTTGCGTATACTGTCGAGCTTGTGTATATTGTCGAGCTGGTGTATACTGTCGAGCTTGTGTATATTGTCGAGATTGTGTATACTGTCGAGCTTGTGTATACTGTCGCGCTTGTGTATATTGTCGGGCTTGTGTATACTGTCGAGCTTGTGTATTTTGTCGAGCTTGTGTATACTGTCGAGCTTTTGTATATTGTCGAGCTTGTGTATACTGTCGAGCGTGTGTATATTGTCGAGCTTGTGTATACTGTCGATCTTGTGTATATTGTCGAGCTTGTGTATACTGTCGAGCGTGTGTATATTGTCGAGCTTGTGTATACTGTCGATCTTGTGTATATTGTCGAGCTTGTGTATACTGTCGCGCTTGTGTATTCTGTCGAACTTGTGTATACTGTCGAGCTTGGGTATACCGTCGAGCTTGTGTATATTGTCGAGCTTGTGTATTTTGTCGAGCTTGTGTATATTGTCGAGCTTGTGTATAATGTCGAGCTTGTGTATACTGTCGAGCTTGTTTATATTGACGAGCTTGAGTATACTGTCGAGCTTGTGTATATTGTCGAGCTTGTGTGTACTGTCCAGCTTGTGTATACTGTCGAGCTTGTGGATATTGTCGAGCTTGTGTATACTGTCGAGCTTGCGTATATTGTCGAGCTTGTGTATACTGTCGAGCTCGTGTATATTGTCGAGCTTGTGTATACTGTCGAGCCTGTGTATGCTGTCGAGCTTGTGTATATTGCCGAGCTTGTGTATACTGTCGAGCTTGTGTATATCGTCGAGCTTGTGTATACTGTCGAGCTTGTGTATTTTGTCGAGCTTGTGTATACTGTCGAGCTTTTGTATATTGTCGAGCTTGTGTATACTGTCGAGCGTGTGTATATTGTCGAGCTTGTGTATACTGTCGAGCTTGTGTATTCTGTCGAACTTGTGTATACTGTCGAGCTTGTGTATACCGTCGAGCTTGTGTATATTGTCGAGCTTGTGTATACTGTCGAGCTTGTCTATACTGTCGAGCTTGTGTATACTGTCGAGCTTGTGTATACTGTCGAGCTTGTGTGTACTGTCGAGCTTGTGTATACTGTCGAGCTTGTGTGTACTGTCGAGCTTGGGTATACTGTCGAGCTTGTGTATACTGTCGAGCATGTGTATACTGTCGAGCTGGAATATAGCATTTTTAGGCTAACATTCACGATGATAGTGATAGCTTTGGTTCAGTATATGCTAATTAGATTTACAAACACATTTGTATATTCCATGTGAATCAACATGAAGCTATAAATAAACCCTCTAATCTGTCAACTGACAGGTCGGACCCCAATTAATTACATAAAGTCATGTTATATACTGAAATTAGTACTGCCTTCAATTGAGGGACACTAAGTCTCATAGTAAAGTAGAACAGTCTCCTTCGGCTCGACGAACATTAAGAATAAAACATCATCGGAGTCCATGCAGTTCATAGCTGTTTCAAAGATTAAAGAATGGACAAACCCCATGCAGAAATACCGTTGCTATTACGTTGAGTTTGACTGTTCTGCCATTGACTTATGGACCCTGCTGCTCAACAGAAGAACATAATTTGATATGCTTCTGACTTTTTGATCAATTTGAAGATCAGAATACCAAACTAATTACATGGCTGCAGAAAACAGCCTCCGTATAAAATTCCCAGCGGGATCGAAGCCGTAATTTCGATGTCACTGTCACTCAGGCGCTTCAAGATCGCGAAGACGCTTGGAAAGTCAATTGAACATCCCAGCAGTGTTATCAAGGCATACATGTTGAGCAGACTATGGTCGGGTCGTATTTATTCTCATGTGCAAACATGCAAGTTGGTCTATTATAAAAGAGTAAATAAAATATCCTGAACAGAAACAGTGACAAGACACGTTATTTCTACCTCGCGTTAGCTGACTAAGATCAACTAATTATCTAAGAAATACGCCGCTCGTTATATCTTATTGATTAACTAAAGATTAGCGAGATAAGTACAATAGATCATCTGATATACAAAGGCCACAGATTTTTCCACATCTTAAGTACTTCCGATTGTCATCGTATAGGGTCGTCTTTGTTCACTCTAGCTTGAGTTTTAAAAGTATTGATTGACTTCCTATTATGGTTTCTGAAGCAACATGTGTGACATGACTTACAGGACACAACATTTAGCCTCGTTAAGAGACGTCAGGAACAAGATTCGTCCATTTTTTTTACTTGCTAAATGAAGTCAGGTAAATGTCAAGCAAGATTTACGTGGTGTGAGCGGATGGGACAGCAGACATGCGTACAGTACCATATATCCCGGGGGAGGGGGAATCTCTTATCATGGACGGATATCGGGAGTTGGGGAGGGGGGTGAATGTCTTATCCCGGATTGATCTTGTAGAGGGAGGGGGGGGGGGGTCACCTTCCCCATGCGATGGTGAATCTTTTTCACGGACGTAAAGTGTGAGGAAGGGAGGGATCTCCTATCCCAGGGGAGGGCGAATATCTAATCACAGACGGAATTATAAATGGGATGTTTCCTATCCTAGGGAGGGCGAACATCTAATCAAAGACGGAATTAGAGCATGTGATATTTCCTAACCAAGGGGAGTGTAGATATCTTATCACAGACGGAATTAGGGAACGGGATATTTCCTCTCCAAGGGGAGGATGAATATCTTTACACAGACGGGATAGTTCCTGTCCTAGGGGAGGTGATAATCTTATCACGGGCAGATTTCTAGGCAGGGATGATCTCCTATCCCAGGGAGGGTGATTAACTCATCACGAACGAAACCCGAGGTGGATGGGTGGTTGGTATTTCTTATCGTTAGGGAGGTTGAATATCTTACTACGACAAAAAATGAACATCCAATCTTGGGGAGGGGCGATTTATCATATCCCGGGGATAGGGATATCTCATATCCCGGGGGAGAGGTATCCCTCCACCGAGTAGGAGAGTGGAAAAAGGTGAAACAATTGGGGCGTTATCAATCGATATTAAGATTGAGGTCAATGAATTAAAACCAGTACAAGCCGTGTTACCTCCCGAAATGTGTCAATACTTGCTTAAAATAATCCTTATTTATAAAATGTCAAGTCAATCTCATTTTAACGGAACGAAGGACGGGGATATATTTCTATATGAAAACCAGGGTCAATGCCTGTCGATTTCGAAAGGTCTCCCAGATTGATGTAGGTACATGTAAATTACCCTTATTGGCAATATTGTTGGAATACTATTATAGAACAAGCGTATACGTCCGTGCTTTTTTTCTTTCTTTTTTTGTAGAAAGGGAAAACATAATACTCTTTTTCGCAAATTACCAATTACCAGAGTGACATCATATTTTTGTTTAGGAAATAGGATTATTATATGTTTTCTATTCTCTTCGAACAAGGTATCTAAGACGTCGGGGACAATGGCACCGCCGATTCATTCATCAACATGGGTTAAATGTCAATCTGTTCGTATAGGGAACAAGGACAAACAGCTAATTAATCTTCAACTTCCGCTCTGCATACGAGGCATGTAGTTACAGCTAGAAAGAGCCTTCGGTTTGTTATTCTTCTTAAAACCTTTGGCGTGAGTGATGGTCTGTAGCTGTTGACTTTGTCCGTCACAGTTAATACGTTTTTACCGATGTAAATATATTAAGGTTCGCACATAGCTCTTACGTAAACACCCGTATGTCAATTTTAATCAGTGCTGGGCAAGCTGTATTTTTTTGGTACCCATTAGTCATTGCAGAATTGTTTTCTTTAAGATTGGTTTCTAACACATATTTCCTACGGCAGCCTATTAAGATATACACCGCGTCAACGTTTTTTTACAACCACATTTCCGGCGTGGATCCCGATCTGTAACTCCGTATGATTATTCTATGTGCTTGCTGAGACAAAACGGAAATTACTGGGTAATACTGGTTTGGTGCTGCACGTCGCCTAGAATTACACGTAACGGAGGTTAACCGACAGTTCTCTCGTGACGTCACACCACACGTGGTCAGGGACGTATGCTAATGACCTGTTGACACAGTTCCGGTAAGACATTAAGCGGCCTTTTAGATTGTCTTACATGCTGTGAACTACATTTTTGTACTAGGGATTACCATTGAGAATAGACACACGGCAGTGTCAGCAAACACAAACACTAGATGCTGATCTCCAAACCCTTCTGTAGAACACAAAGAGAAAGCAACTATGCAGAAAGCAGAATGTTCATGCGAATTTTACATTATTATCTTAATATCTATTGACATACAGTAAAACCCCTATAAAATGCCCTTCGTTTCAATTGCTATCTCGTTTACGGCCAACATATTTCAATATTGTTTCTATATTTTTTCTTCAAAGAGTTCCTTTATAAACTTCCTTCACATTATAGCCGATCCCCCTTATAACGCCGGGATTTTTCTGGACAAATGGTGGCAGTATAACAAGGTTTTACTGCAGTTGTTAACAGATCGTTAATCTATAGGATAGATATAAGTTAAAGCGTTACATTCGAAATTAATATCTGAATCACCGAATCATGAAACCATATATTTTTTAATAAATATTACTCGTTCACACATTTATCTTATTTTTTTAATAGAAGATCTTAAACTGTTTTTAAGAAAATGTATTTTGAAATTTCAATTCTCCTCAGATATCAATTAGAATAGATAATAAAATAAACCGATGACATAGACCTAGAAAATATTAACAAGTACTGATAAACTGATACATGTAATTGCCAACGTGTATGTGACGTCATAAACCTATTAAAGTCGATTAAGCGATATGACTAGTAGAAACCCATTTTAATATTAATAGAACTTCTAAGTTATGCAACGATAAATACTTATCCGTGTCGAATCACTCTTGTTTGCCCGGATGTTAGTGCGAAGGTGGGTGGGTGTGTTACTGTGGGAGGAAACCGGATAACCCGGAGAAAACCCACCATTATGGCCTCAACGAATGCTAATGGAATTTGAATATTGAAACAGACAAGTCTGTTGTCATAAAGTTTGGTGATATTGTTGTTTATTTTAAACACAATGAAAATAAATAGATAAAAAATAATTTCTTACTTTGAAAGGTTAACCGTCATCCTGGAGGCCTCTGCAACGTAATCTGTATAACGAAATAAAAATGAAAATATCAATAGGCAATAATTACATCACAATACCTTATATACTTGTTTCAGCACGTGTGTTATGCAATGTCATGTCAGATAAGCTCAACTGGAATTCTTAGTTTTTTGGCCAGAAATCTAGTTTTTCTTCACAGCCGATCAAACTAGTGAAATTAATTCCGGTTATTATGGTGGCAGTAACATCATTACCTGTCGTCGACATCACAAGGAACACACGTACCAAGGGATATAATTTTGGATTATTTTGCAGAATTACAGTTTAAACACATTTCATTTGCCAAAATATTTTGGGTAAGAGATTAGGCACAAGTTATTACAACGTATGATCGCCTTCTCCCATTATACATTTACAATTACATGATACATTGTAACAATGAAATCAGGAACAACACTGAAATACACTGAAATACGCCAACACACGCCTAATCATCACGCATACCCTCACACGCCTATGAGTGAAAATATAACCAGAATTACAATATATCGCTATAGATGTGTTGAAGTGATGCACATATGTAAATACTCTAATTTTGAATGAAGTAAACATTTAAACATTCAAATTTTGAAGCCTGATACGCCTTTCGTTGGTAAAATGTTTACACTCAATGGACAGGTGATGGTCATTCCCATAGTGGTGTCCAGAGCGTCGATCTAGATTTTGAATATCGTGAACTCTCATACGCCCATCACTCTCTCTTTGAGCGTAAACATTTCAACATATGTACATCTTCTTTATTTCAGGGAACTGCATCGACGTCTAATCTTCGTAAGTAATATATATTCAACCTGCGTTCACCAAAACTTAAGTAAATGAAAATAGATGAAGGAAATTGTACATTTGAAGATAAAGAGAGTTTTTGAAATCATTTTAGGGAGGTAAGGATTGTTCAATCTAAACATAAATTGTAGATGAGTGATAAAACCAAAACCATTATTATGTCTGTATTTCAAATCGCAGAGAGTGCATATGAACGCTGGAATTGCGCGGGAAAATACGCCTTAACCAACTCCTGAAGGT